CCATCCTTTAAACGAAAGCACTTCAAAAAGAGCTAACATTGCGTTTCCCAAAGAATCAAAGTTAAAGCGACGAGGATTTGCCCTTTAAATGCATTTATTATAACAACACATATTACATATATTTTTTTGGTAATTTGTCGGTTAGTTGTAATGAATTAATGGGTCACATATAATGTATGCAGACATTGATTAAGCATTTTTAATTCTGATTATTTGGTTAGTTTAAGCAGAAATGTTAGTTTAAAATGTTTTACAAAATTACTTTACTTTCAATTTATATCCAATGAATTATTGTATTATGAAATTTAATAATTGATATTTTTTCTAAAATCAATAACTCATTGTTTATTTTATTGGAAGTGTATTAATTTTTAAATTTGTATATTAATGGTAATAACACTTACAGGTCCTACTCTGTCAACAATAATATCCCGATAATCACAATATCCTTCCAGTGATAGGATTTCAAACAACGCTAACATTGCATTTCCCAATGAATCAAAATTGAAATTTCGTGGATTAGCCCTAAAATGCGGGTTATTTACTAAAACTGATTTTATTTTGATTTATACTCTACTATTGATACCTCAAGTGGAAGAGTATATGAGATAAATAATCAAATGTTGTATCATTTTGTAAATTTTTAAAGTTAACTGTAATTCAATACTTACCAAACTCTGGGAACAAGAATAACAGGCATAGACTCGTTATGATTTTCTAACTTCATTCTCGTCACATGAACTGATCTTTTGAATACTCCCACACAGTCTTCCTATAATTAATGTGATATCATTTCACAATTATTTCAAGTGTTTTTAAGGTTTAAAATACAAACCCTTTTAGTGATGATGGGATCATTACATCGGGCCAGTAGTCCGCCAAACATATGCACTCCAACCGATGCGAACACAAAGAGCAACACAATTAGCAGAACTGATACCAAAGCAATTTCCTTAAAGCCTCGACACAATTCATAGACAACTTTCCGCATATGAGGTACTAATGAGAAGATTCTGAGCGGACGAACGCATCGTAAAACTAATAGAGTTTGTATGAGAGACTGCGGCGGGACGTGGGATGGCATCACTATTATGAACACTAATGACACCCCAAATATAAAGAAGTCCATAATCCCCGCCACGTGTGCCAACAGTGCGTTCGGTGTGAATAGCAAACCGTCGGCCAATGTCTTGAGCAAAAGCTCGATAGCCATTGCAATGACAAATGTATACTCAGCGACCCTCAGTGCCGGTGTATTGTCTACGCGTTGTGTTCCCGTCTCAAACATCATGGAAGCGCACGAAGCAGTGGTGACAATAATCATAAGCCAATCACAATATGGTACTAAACCTAGCAATTCGTGAGCGCCTTTGTATCTCACTTTGCGCTCTTTGCCAGTAATGGGGTCTCTGCTCTTTGGGTCGTATTTAGCACTTGTAATGCTTTGACAGCAAAGTCTGAATTTAGATTCTCTGCCCACAAGAAGTAGTGGTGTATCAAAAAAGGGGTGGTTTTCTCTGAGATCGCACTCGCGTTGAGTTCGTCTCATCTCCGCCTGTTGTCTCTTCCTTTGCAACATTTTAAAGTCAAAGTCTTGTCCTCTCACTGTTGGTCCGCCACTCTCTCCGCCCCCTTCGGGGACCACCTCTTCCTTAA